CGGGGCGGCCACACCGGTCCGGCTGTCACGCCTGTCGCGCCGCAACGGCCCGAGGTTTTCCTTGCTGGGACCCCTTCCGGGCCTGCCTCACTTTCCAGTGAACTCCCCTCCCCTCCCCCCCCGCCCGCCTTTCAGCGCCGCTCAACTCCACCGGCATGCTCGCAGGGCATAGAGACGCCACGCTAGAGCGCCACCTTGCGCTCTCGGTGGCCATTTTTTTGCAAGCGAATACTGTGTACCCTCCGAGCTCTTAGAAAGACTGCGGCCCTCGCCTGTTTCCCGCAGACATATTGAGTGAGGGCAACGGGGAGGACGGTCCGCCACTTACCGCTTTTCCCCTTCTCTTTCTTTCACGAACACACGAGGGGAATACGGTCGACTGCCTTTTTTTAGAAGTCCTGGTGTCACTCCGTGGGGAAGGGGGGGGCTTCTTTCAGCTCTTCCTAAAGACCATGAAGTCGTATCTTCCCGCAACAAAGATGGCGGCTCCACTTGGAGGACTAACCAACGGCTAAAAGCGCTCGGCCGTCTAGAATGGATCAATCGCCACTTCAAACGAAGTGGGCGGAGTTAGAACGTTGAAAGTGGGAGGAGGCTGCGAGCGAGAAGTTGTCGAATTCTTTTGAGGCAGAGGAAAGGTGCCTGAGGTCTTGGGCTGTCTCTTCACAGACGCAGAAGGCTGTTGAATCCCATTTGCTCTAAAAATTGCCGTTCAAATAAGATTTGGAAGATCACTGATTCCTTGCAGCCTGGCTATTTAAAAGCGCGGGGTGGAAGGGGCTCACTTTACAAATAGGAAAGTAAAATAATATGCCTAAGAGTAAGTGTAGGGAGGCAAAGACTGGTTGTCTATACTGTATTATAGTCTTACCATGGCTTTAGTCGTGCTTCCTTATATATTTATACTTCGAAGTACAAGCTAATGTCTAGTTTCTTCTGAATGATCCAGTATTATTTTGTCCTCTGTCTTTTACGTTGCAAAGTTCTTAATACTACTGCAATCTACAACTCTTCCTAGGGAAGTGGTGGCGCTGGGGGCTAAACCGCAGAAGCCTGTGCTGCAGGGTCAGAAGAACAAGCAGTCGTAAGATCGAATCCACGCGACGGAGTGAGCGCCCGTCGCTTGTCCCAGCTCCTGCCAACCTAGCGGTTCGAAAGCATGCAAATACAAGTAGATAAATAGGGACCACCTCAGTGGGAAGGTAACAGTGTTCCGTGTCTAAGTCGCACTGGCCATGTGACCGTTGAAGATTGTCTTCGGACAAAACGCTGGCTCTATGGCTTGGAAACAGGGATGAGCACCGCCCCCTAGAGTCGAACACGACTGGACAAAAATTGTCAAGGGGAACCTTTACCTTTACAACTCGTCCTCTCACCCTCGTTTCTTCAGAAAAAAAGAGAATTGTCCAATAAAAAACCAGCAGGGTCTCCCAGCATTGTTGATAGGGGAAGTTCAAGACAGGTGAACCATATTTAACAAATTAAAGTCTTTTTTTAAAATTCTGGTCAATATCAAGTGTTGGAATCACGATGCCGCTGAATAAAATGGATTAAAGCATAACATTAATACAATATATAGAACTGCAGAAGACCTTTTTCAGTGAATGCAAAGATTCCTGAGATGCATAAAAGAGCATTATTGGACTGCAACCCCCATCAGCCTCAGTTGCATAAACAATAATGACAAATGCAGGGAAATGTGGTGCCAACACTTTGCCCACCTTGACAGGGAGTGATGAGCTCTCCAAATATGTTGGTCTAAGATTATAGGTCTGCTGGATAGCTCAGTGTTTCCCTATCACACTACCTTAGAAAGATGTGGATAGTACAGTGCAACATACAATTGAGTGTTGCACCACAAATTTGTTTGGGAACAAGTAGAAGAATGAGAGGCGCTACAGGTTAAACCGCAAAAGCCTCTGGGCTGCAAGGTCGAAAGATCAGTTTGAATCCACGCAACAGAGTGAGCTCCCACCATTTTTCCCAGCTCCTGCCAACCTAGCAATTCGAAAGTGTGTAAAAATGCGAGTAGATAAATAGGTAGCACCTCAGTGGGAAGGTAACAGTGTTCCGTGTCTGGTCACACTGGCCACGTGACCACGGAAATTGTCTTCGGACAAGTGCTGTCTCTATGGCTTGGAAACGGGGATGAGCACTGCCCCCTGGACTAAATGTCAAGGGGAACATTTACGTTTTACCTAGAAGAATGGGATGGGATACCTAGTGTGGTGTAATGGACAGAGCAGAAGTTGTAAAAGTAAAGGTTCCCCTTGACAATTTTTGTCTAGTCGTGTTCAACTCTAGGGGGCGGTGCTCATCCCCGTTTCCAAGCCATAGAGCCAGCTTTTTGTCCGAAGACAATCTTCCGTGGTCACATGGCCAGTGCGACTTAGACACGGAACGCTGTTACCTTCCCACCAAGGTGGTCCCTATTGATCTACTTGCATTTGCATGCTTTCGAACTGCTAGGTTGGCGGGAGCTGGGACAAGCGACTGGCACTCACTCCGTCACATGGATTCGATCTTACGACTGCTTGGTCTTCTGACCCTGCAGCACAGGCTTCTGCGGTTTAGCCCACAGCGCCACCACGTCCCTCGAGCAGAAGTCAGAAGGCCTGAGTTTGAACTCCCTGTTCAATCATGGAAACTCATCAGCTCTGTGGAACTGGTAAAACCACTCCTTAAAATATCTCATTCAGATTGGTATTTTCCTTACTGTTTGTTACGTTCTGGGGGTGGATTGGTTTGTTCTTTTTTCCAACTAGACTGTGAGTGACGGGGTGAAGTGGGACAACCGTCATAGCTGGCATCCTTTTTCCTTCTAGCAATGTGGGTATGATATTGTGCAGCAATATTGGGTCATCTACCTCCGGAAACTGTAGGTTTTTGTTTTTTTTAAAGAATTGCATTCTTAAGATAGCACAAAAAATGAAGAATCCAGAAAATGTCTAGATTTCTGAAATCTCTCTTTCCCCCCCCCCTCGCTTTCTTTTAAAAGAAAGTTCATGCAAATAAGGCTGACCAACAAAGGATACGCGGAACTGTAAATGGGTATCAGCCCTAGGGAGCAGACTGGAGGAATAGGCTAGTAGTTTCCAAAAGACTTTCTGGCTTCCCTTCTGCCCCCCCCAACCCAAAGTATTATATTGGGGAGCCACAGCCAGTGGCCAGTAAGTGAAGGGAGCTGCGAGTTGAAAAAGTCTGGGAACCACTGGTCTATGATCCTCCAGGCAAATGTGAAGTACAAATAGAGGGGACAGGGTTGCAGCTTGAGATTGATTAAAAAAAAAGTAGCATCTTATTACTTTGAACGAGCTCAGATATCTAGTCCTGGATGAACTGAATCCAAGAGTGTTGAACAAACTGGCTGAAGAACTCTCAGAACCACTGTATTTTATATTACTGAACTCATAGAGGTTGATGTGAAGTGACTGATGGTTGGAGAAGGGTTCATGTTGTCCTTATCTTCAAAAAGGGCGAAAAAGGAGGAACCAGGGAAGTGCAGACCAGTCAACCTCACATGAACCTCAGAGAAAATTCTGAAGTAGTCACTCTGTAAGGACCTTGAAGACAATGCAATAGTAACTAGAAGCCAACATGGTTTTGTCAAGAACAAATCCTGCCAGACTAATCCTACCTATCTAATTTTTTATCAGGTAACCTCCCTGGTAAATGATGCGAATACTGTATATGTAATACATCTCAACTTCAGCAAAGCCTTTGACAGAGCAGCCCGTGATGGAAGTAGTCACTCTGTAAGGACCTTGAAGACAATGCAATAGTAACTAGAAGCCAACATGGTTTTGTCAAGAACAAATCCTGCCAGACTAATCCTACCTATCTAATTTTTTATCAGGTAACCTCCCTGGTAAATGATGCGAATACTGTATATGTAATACATCTCAACTTCAGCAAAGCCTTTGACAGAGCACCCCATGATGTTCTAATAGCAAATTAACTAGATGTGGGCTGGACAAAGCAACTGTCAGATGGACACAGAGTTGGTTACAGAATTATACTGTAGAGATTGCTTATCAAAGCCTCCTTCTCAAATTGGAAGGAGGTGACAAGTGGTGTACCACAAGGCTCAGTCCTGGGCTTGGTGCTCTTCATTTTTATTAGTGACATGGATGAGGGAGTGCAGGGAATGCTTATTAAATCTGCAGATGACATGAAACTGGGCAGAACAGCTAATACCCTGGAAGACAGAAACAAAATTCAGAAACGTCTTGATAGGCTTGAGTACTGGA